TGGAGAAGACCACCTTCGTCTCTTCTCCCGCCCTTCAGCATTGGCCACACTCGTCTGTACTCATGGTATCTCATGGAGAGGCAACCCTGTTTTCCCCTCTCTGTGAGCAGTGTCAAGTTCCAGTATCGATTAGACCACATTCTGTTAACTGCCACTCTCTATCAGCGAGCACCAGAATTTAACCTCCAACGTCGTCTTCGTTCTCCTACCTCTCTTTACACCTTCCCTTCTTGCTGAGTGGACCCTGCCTTTAACCAGACTCTCTCATTGACTTCTTGACAACGACTGATTTACCTCCACAAACTCTGGATGAAAGCTTTTTCACTCCCCCTCAGCAGACTTTCTGTTCAGTCACTTGCTGCCTCTTTTACTCCTTTCACCATCCACTGCCACGCTTTTATCCAGTAACCTGTAGGCACATACCATCTCCCTTTTGCCACCTGATGCCCTCGCTTCCTTCCTGCCCTGCAGCGCTGTATAGTCCTTGTGGCTTAGCGCTTCTTTTTTGATGATATAAATAATAAATATCAAATTTTACTTTTCTGATTTTCACACCTTTGTTAAAAGATTATTTTTCTTTTTCTTAAATTCTTGGACCACTGGAGATCAATTCTCAGATCAGGGGTCCCTTGAGGCAGAAAGGAAATAAGGAACAAGGTACATGCAAGTTTCATTGTAGTGTATGAAATCCATTATAGTACAATTGTAGATTGCCACTGTGTGTTTTATTAAATGTCCAGTAATATCAGGAAGAGGTATTGGTATCATGCGAGAACCAGAATGGGGAAACAGCGTAGAGCAAGATTTATCCGACCAAAACCATAAATTTGAATGCCCTTGATGTATGGAGGATAAGTCTGAGCTTCACGCCCCGTTACTTTTTTTTTTTTTACTGGATCTTTCTTAATCCATTTTCCTGGCTGTGCATGTCACTACTGAAGTTCTCTCCTTTATTTTTTTTTTTTTTTTTTTATTTTTCTAATTTGGAAAAAATACTTGAAAGAGAGGTTGGTGTAAAGCTATAAATAAATAGGTAAAAAGGAACATAGAATTTTCATTAAATAACCTTGTAAAAATTGAGGGTTTGATAGTTGAGAAATTGTGAAGGGATAGTAATTATATAATTTGTTCAATAGGATATTGACAAAATTAGTTTCAATAATTGCGTAGGTAAATAAGAACCCTGAAGCATTTCAAAAAATTTATTTTGTAATGTAGTTCTAAATAATAAATGGCTTCTTGACTAAGATACACATCATCAAGAATAGGTAGTGACATACATTGTGGCTTAGATTTTGGGCTTTTATCCAAGATAGTTGTACTTCTCACCTCAGATTGATCCTGATTGACTTTCCATTCCTCAGGGATTAAGTGACCCACATGGTTTTACTGCTAAATGTAATAATTTCAACTGTGGCTACTATGGCAATTTCATAGTTTGAAACCGCAAGGAAGGTCCATGATGTTGGAGTGATGGGGCTCTTGATTTAGGGATTTGGATTGGATCTGTGCTACCAGTTCCCCAAATTAGCCCGAATGCCTTCCACAATCCACTCCACACCAGCTGCTGTATAAACCTCTGGTTTAGCGCATCCCCCTTGATAATTTTATTATAATAATCAAGGGGGAAGTGCAAAACTCAGAGGATATACAAGCACCTGAGGGGGAGATGTGGAAGGCATTCCAGGCTTAATTTGGGAAACTGAGCGACAGATCCAATTCCCAAATCAGAGAGCCCATCCACCACCACCACCCCTAGATAATAAAAATAGTGTGAAAATTTTTAATAAAAAAAAGTCAACTCAGTTATTTGAGAGCCAACTTCCTCTTTGTAAGCTTAATTTCCATTTGCTAACAATGAACCACAAAGTTCAGTATGATGTAATAAAAGTAGGTATATGAAGTAAGTGCTAGGAGCTATTCCATGAGCATAACCAGCAACTTTAGTGAGACTTTCCCACTTATATTAATCAAAAACCAAGCACTAAATCAACTATGGTATACTAGCACTGCAGGGCCTGGAGTAATGGCTATATTGTACTTGTGTAAACCCCTGTGCCAAAATAAATTTTGAAATTTTTTAGTCCTTGATTCTGTTCCATAATTGTTTGGTATGGTTGCTTAAAGGGACACTCCCTTGAACAGAAAAAAAGTACAAAGGAACTTTATTTGGGCACAGGTACCCCAAAAATGCAATCATATCATGTGGAATTCCCTAGGTAAAAAAAAAAATTGTATGCTATACTTTGGGGGGGTTATACATTTGGGCCCACAGTTGTATTTTCCCCTTTGTGAAACGTGATCCCCTGAAAAACACGTGTAATACCTTTCGTTTAGCAAATGATCAGGTTTATGAGCGGCGGCAAGAGACAGGCAGAGCTAGCTAGGCAAAGTCATGCAGGCCGCCAGAACCAGCTAGCCGAACATGTATTACACGTTCCAAAATACAACTCAGGACATGGTGGTGGGACATTGTCAGGATGCCACTACAAGTGGTATCAAAATTGAAAGGATGTGGCAGAAATGTTGCACATGAGTTATTGTCTAGGTTTTTTATATATCCTTGACCACTTATGGCCACATCCATCTCAAAGCCACTTAACTCAGGGTCAGTGTCACTTTCCTCAAAAAAAGTAGTGTTAATATAGGTGCACATCCCTTTATCTGAAACCTGTGGGGCCTGTATTGTTTTGAATTTTAGAATGATTCTGAACGCTGCCATGTGGCAGTGTGACCCAGCATAGAGATTGACGCTCCACACTCCACAAAAACTTTGGTTTTTGGAAATTTTCAAATTTCAGAATTTTGGATAAAGGGATGTGGACTACCTGTATGACATGGCATTAGTGAATCCTGGGGTTTGCCATCCTGTTTACTCTAGCTAGCACTCAGTTGAACTGGTGTTCCCTGAAGGTACTAAGTGGTCCCAGTGTGTTCAGACCTATATTGCCTAGGCCTATCCGGCCTCCGGTGCCAAATTTGAAGGCAGGAAAAATAATGTGTTGATCTATGTCATAAGCACTAGCAGTAGTGAGCAGATCCATGGTTTGACAGTGATACTTTTTATAGCTTTATTTCTTTTTGCTGGATATGTGGGGCAGCAGGCCTCCAGGAGCAATAGCCTGGTTGACCAGGCAAGCACCAGACGAGCCTGGTCTCTGGCCGGGCTTAGAGAGTAGAGATACTCTCGAAACTCTTCGAAGGTAATTAGATAAAAAATTATCAGCAGATTTAATTGAAAATTTTATTTAAAGTTCGTTGGTACTAGAATGAAATCCAAGTTTATATTCTCGGTTTGAGATTAAGCTGTAAGTAATGGAAATGTTTGATTTTCGCCGGTATTCCAGAGTAGTGGAACCTCTACTTGCGAGTTTAATCTGCTCCATGACTTTCCTCGTTTGCAGAGTCAATTTACTCATTAATTGAAATGCAATTAATCCGTTCCAGTGGAATTCTGTACTTCAATAATTTCGCTAATAACTCTACGGCTTATTTATCTATCACAGTAGCGCTGTATAGCCCTTGTGGCTTAGCGCTTCTTTTTGATTATAATATCTATCACAGTTCATTTAATGTGACATAAACGATATAAATAAACTTGATATATACTCCAGAATGCATAAAAAGTCATTACGTAACAGGTGGAGGCGGCCACAACCGCTCCCTCTTTGTTGTGGTAAACACTGCCATCTTATTATGTAGCACATTATTATGTGTATTATTATTGTATTATACATATGATTATTATTATGTTAAGCATCTTACCATCATACATTGCCCAGGTTTCAATAAGATGGTCCAACAATTTTTTATCACACTGGCCAATTCCCACCAAGGCAGGGTGGCCCGAAAAAGAAAAACTTTCACCATCATTCACTCCATCACTGTCTTGCCAGAAGGGTGCTTTACACTACAGTTTTTAAACTGCAACATTAACACCCCTCCTTCAGAGTGCAGGCACTGTACTTCCCATCTCCAGGACTCGAGTCCGGCCTGCCGGTTTCCCTGAACCCCGTCATAAATGTTACTTTGCTCACACTCCAACAGCACGTCAAGTATTAAAAACCATTTGTCTCCATTCACTTCTATCAAACACGCTCACGCATGCCTGCTGGAAGTCCAAGCCCCTCGCACACAAAACCACCTTAACCCCCCCTCACCCTCCAACAAACAAATGAGATGCAATTCCCTAGAGCAAGAGCCCCTCGCCAGTGTCGAGGCACCTGCCTTGAGGTCTGCTAGCGTATGGAAGCAAAAAATTGACCCATCGACTGCTCGTATTTGGAAAAAATCGCATGTGGATGCGCTCACAAGTAGAGGTTCCGCTGTACACACATTACGTCGCTCATCCAATGCACATCCAACTGGTCAGTCTAATATGCATTCACAAATGCACTGACATTATACAATTATTACAATAATACAGTAGTCTGCATAACAGTAAATGTTTTTGTGAATAAAAATTCAAAATGGAAAGCATAGGAGAGGCCTGGGGACGTAACTAATGAACAGGAATTTTTTTTTTAGTGCCAGGAATGTCTACATTGTTTATTCTGGACCCTATTTTTAAATTGGCAATTTTTGTGTGTGAACTTGGCAATATTACTTCTGTTGAAATAGGTAAATGGGCATTTTGTATACTCAAGTCAATATAGAAGGTTTCCTAGTGAAACAGCTATGAGGTTGGTTGACTGAAAAAAGTAGAAATGGCCTAAAATAGAACTAAGAAATTGCCGGTGTAAATATTGCAAAGACCACAACTGAGTGTAATTCCATGTGTTTTCCATCAAATTTTACTTTTGATTTCACTACCTTTGGAAAAAGATTAATTTTTTTTTCTTAAATTCTTGGACCCTGAGATCAATTCTCAGATCAGGGGTCTTGAGGCAGAAAGGGATAAGGAACAAGGTACATGCAAGTTTCATTGTAGTGTATGAAATCCATTATAGTACAATTGTAGATTGCCACTGTGTGTTTTATTAAATGTCCATGTATTTCAGGAAGAGGTATTGGTAGCATGCGAGAACCAGAATGGGGAAACAGCAGTAGAAGCAAGATTTCAGACAAAACCATAATTTGAATGCCCCTTGTTGTAGGGAGGTCAAGTCTGTGCTGCACGCCCCGTTACTGGGTTCTTCCATTTTCCTGGCTGTGCATGTCACTACTGAAGTTCTCCCTTTTTTTTTTTTTTTTTTTTTTTTTTTAATTTGGAAAAATTACTTGAAAGTGAGGTGGTGTAAAGCTAGTAAATAGTTAAAAGGAACATAGAATTTCATTAAATAACCTTTGTAAAAATTGAGGGTTTTGATTGTTGAGAAATTGTGAAGGGAATAGTAATTATATAATTTGTTAAATAGGATATTGACAAATGTAGTTTCATAATTGCGTAGTTAATAAGATACCCTGAAGCATTTCAATAATGTAGTTCTAAATATAAATGCTTCTTGACTAAGGTACACATAATCAAAGAATAGGTAGTGACATTCAGTTGTGGCTTAGATTTTGGGGCTTTTGATCCAAGAAGTTGTACTTCTCACCTCAGATTGATCCTGATTGACTTCCATTCCTCAGGGATTATGTGACCCACATGGGTTTACTGCTAAATGTAATAATTTCAACTGTGCTACTATGGCATATTTCATAGTGTGAAACCCTCAAGGAAGGTTCCTTGATGTTGGTGAGGGGGCTCTTGATTTAGGGAATTGGATCTGTGCTCCAGTTCCCCAAATTAAGCCCGAATGCCTTCCACATCCCCTCCCCCCCAGCTGCTGTATAATCCTCTGGGTTTAGCGCTTCCCCCTTGATAATTTTATTATAATAATCAAGGGGGAAGTGCTAAACTCAGAGGATTATACAGCACCTGGGGGGGGAGATGTGGAAGGCATTCAGGCTTAATTTGGGAAACTGGAGCACAGATCCAATTCCCTAAATCAAGAGCCCCTCACCAACATCACCCCTTGATAATAATAATAGTGTGAAATTTTTAATAAAAAAATGTCAACTCAGTTATTTGAGCCAACTTCCTCTTTGAAGCTTATTTTCCCATTTGCTACATGACCACAAGTTCAGTACTTGATGTAATAAAATAGGTATATGAAGTAAGTGCCTAGGAGCTTTTCCATGAGCATACCAGCAACTTTAGTGAGACTTCCCACTTATATTATCAAAACCAAGCACTAAATCAACTAGGGTCATACAGCACTGCAGGGCAGGGAGTTATGGCTATAGCAGAAAATAGCCAGGGGTCAAAAGGTAGAGTTAGTAAGGGCTTTGAAGAGTGCTAAAGCTTGTGTAATAAACTGATTGCTTTCAAAAGAGGGAGTGTATCAAAGGTAGGGGCCGTCAGCAAGGAGGGAATATAATGTAAGGGTGTTAGTGGTGACATAGGAGGAAAATTTTGCATGCTTGTTGAAAGACAGGACATTCCAATAGAATATGGCAAACTGAAATTGGAACCAGGGCACCTCCATTGCAAAGACTGGAAAGTGCAGTTATCCAATCTCGGCAATGACGATGATGAGGCCAGAAACCTGAACTTGGTTTGACAATACAATTTGGAGCCATATCGGACCAACAGTTGCAAAGGTGGTTCGAGATTACAGTACGTCTGAGAATGGAATACCTCTATATGAAACTCCTCTTCAAGGGAGGCTCCTTGGCGTAGTGAAGAGGCTCTTGGTCTGAGGAATTAGACCTGTCAGTCTCCTTCCTCAGACCGAACCTAATTACCCCCCAATCCCCCCATCCATATCCCATTTTTTTTTCCTCTCCTCTTCCCCACCCCTCTCTTTTGCCCTTCCCCCTTTTGGCCTTTGGGATTTCTCCCACAGGCACTTCAGTTCCTAGGTAGGGGAAAGGGTACTGGGGTCCATCCCATTCCATTGAGGTTCTTGGCGGTGGCGTAGTTTGCCGTGGAATCTGGATCGCCTGGGGATGTCCCGATCCCCCTCTGGTTTCCCGGAGGGTGGCTTTGGGTGACGGGTGTCTCTCTGGAAGCCATCTTTCGGATTCCGGGGGTGGTGGCCAAAGGAGGTATGCTTTGTGGCGGATATCCGGCCACCCTCTCTTGTCCACTGAGGTAGCTCGGCAGATGTGAGGTTGCTATCCCATTATTATAATCAAAAAGAAGCGCTAAGCCACAAGGGCTATACAGCGGTTGCTATCCCAGATTGCTGGTTTACTGGCATGAAGGGTAGGGTATGGCACGGGTTCCATGCTGCATCTGCATCCTCTTGGGCGTGGAGGGAGATTTCCGGCCCTTTCATTCCTCCTGGGAACTATACATCCCCGCTCCCCCCTTTTACCCCTCAAGGAAGGTTCCTTGATGTTGGTGAGGGGCTCTTGATTTAGGGAATTGGATCTGTGCTCCAGTTCCCCGAATTAAGCCTAAATGCCTTCCACATCCCCCCCCCCAGGCGCTGTATAATCCTCCCCTCTTCAAGGGGGGCTCCTTGGCGTGGTGAAGAGGCTCTTGGTCTGAGGAATTAGCCCTGTCGGTCTTCTTCCTCAGACCGAACCTAATTACCCCCCATTCTCCCCTCCCCTATCCCATCCTCCCCTTTTTCCATTCCTCCTCCTCCTCCCCACCCCTCCCTTTTACCCTTCCTCTTTTTGGCCTTTGGGATTTCTCCCACAGGCACGCTAGTTCCTAGGTAGGGGAAAGGACACTGGGGTCCATCCCATTCCGTCGAGGTTCTTGGCGGTGGCGTAGTTTGCCGTGGAATCTGGATTGCCTGGGGATGTCCCGATCCCTCTCCGGTATCCCGGAGTAGCTTTGGGTATCTTTCGGGCGACGGGTGTATCTCTGGAAGCCACCTTTCGGATTCCGGGGGTGGTGGCCGAAGGAGGTATGCTTTGTGGCGGATATCCGGCCGCCCTCTCTTTTGTCCACCGAGGTAGCTCGGCAGATGTGAGGTTGCTATCCCGGATTGCTGGTTTACTGGCATGAAGGGTAGGGTATGGCACGGGTTCCATGCTGCATCTGCGCTACTAGCGGTGTTGAGGTCCTCTTGGGCGCGGAGGGAGATTTCCGGCCCTTTCATTCCTCCTAGGACCTATCCTCCCGCTCCCCCCTTTTTTTATTCTTTTTTTTTTATTTTCTTTTCTTTCTTTTTTTTTTTCTTAAAAACAAAAAGCAAAGGAGTAACCTAACCATGGCAGCCCTAGTCCATGAAACCACTACCCCCGGGCCCCTTCTTGATACCGCACCCCATTCTGACCCTGCCTTGTGTTTAGACCACTCTTCGGACACTCCTGATGCCCCTGTACCTCTTGCTGGTGCTGTTTCCTCACCCGCTTCAGGTACCGGGGCTTCGAATGACTCCTTCGATTTGTCTGAACTCCGCTCTCCTTTGACTATGCTTCCGGCTTCTCCCTCTACGGTACGGCAATTTTCGAATCGCCCGCCCATTTCATGCCGGACCAACTCCGGTCCTACTCCTAAACGCCAACGTCAATCTCCTGATGATGCTCCTTCGTTACCTTCTCATTCTACTCGGAAAAGACCGACACGTCAAGCACTCCCTCTCCACGCTCAGTTTCGGACCACACAATGGACTAAATTCTTTACTTTAAGACCAACTTCTTCTTCTGCCTACCTTTCTGACCATAGTATTGGCAAAGCGCTCCTGCGTCATGTTGGCAGAGATATTTCATTTCACGCTCTCAAGAGCGGTACGCGCATCGTCACTGTCCAGAATGTTACCCAAGCTCATGATCTTTCTCTCCTTTCGAATATCGATACTACTCCTATCACTATTGAAAAACATCTTTCTCTCAATTCTTGTAGTGGTACTGTCATTCTGCCCCATACCATAGTCCAACAGAATTTCCAGTCATGTGGCAATGACATTTTTGAACAGCTGGAACTCCAGGATCTCCCAATCCTCAAAGTAGACACTTATGTCCTTCCTGCCCGGGGGAGGAGACGTTACCCTTGCAATGTGGCTCGTTTAACTTTTGACAGCCGAGAACTCCCGTCCTCTGTTTATGTCGCAGGACATCGGTTACAAGTTCGAAAGGTGATACCTACACCGCAACAATGTAGAAATTGCTGGCGTTTTGGTCACCCAGCGAAATATTGCAGATCTATGGCCGAATGCCCAGTCTGTGGTGCCGACGACCATTCTAATACATCTTGCAGTCAACCTCCATCTTGCCTTAATTGTAATGAAGCTCACCCTTCATACTCCCGCCGTTGCCAGGTCTACTTAAATGAACGTGTAAATCCGTTGCCTCAAAGAGCAGAAGGTCTCCCTTATGCTATGGCAGTTACTCATCTCCGCCTCCAAGGGAGACTACCCCGTGTTTCTTATTCTCGTGTTTCCAAACATCCCCCCACTTCTGGGGTCCCATCTTCTGCAGCCTCCTCTGTTGTTACCCCTCCCATAGCCACTACGGCATCTAATCCTTTTGCTGTCCTTGGCTCTGACGTCCCGACTACAACTCAGTCTGTTCTCACATCTTCGCGTCCTTCCTCACAAGCCCCAGTATCGACAAGACCTCGTACGACACCTAATACCAATCGCCCCTCTACACAGAAGTCCAAAAAATCCACATTGCTCAAATCTTCTTTGCCCCTTCCTTCCCTTCTTCCACCTCCACACTTTACCTTTCCAGTCTCTGTACCTAGTTCTTCCCCTCTCTCTGGCTCTATTACAAGTGTGGAGATTCACCCTCCTCCTCGTACTATGCCTTCCACCCCCGTCCCCTCCCAAGTTTCTCCCTCTTCTGCCACCTCCCAGGTTTCTGCCTCTTCTGTCCCCCCCCCCCACACTTCATCTCCAGTCCCTTACACTCTTCCCTCCCCCTCTACTTTGGTACAGTCCATTACTGTCCCAATCTTTACTCACCCTCCTCCTTCTATCTCCAATATGGTCTCCCATACATCTTTGAATTCAGAAACACTTGAAGCCATTTCAGAATATATTGCAGAGACTAAACCTTCAATGGACACTGATTCACTTCCTGTTCCTTCTCTTCCCTCTCCTCCATCTTCACAACCCCATTCTTCGCAACGCTCCGTTCCTTCGCTACTTGAACATCTTCCAATGCCACCACACGTTGACTTTTCTAACCCCTCTAGTCCGTAGGTGCCTTTACCTACAGATTCCTGATATTTTCTTCATCGCCAATCATGGCCTATTTACAGTGGAATATCCGCAGCCTCAGGGGTAATCGGGGTGAGCTTCAGATGTTGCTTTCCAGGTTTTCCCCTGTTGGTGCTTGCTTACAAGAACCAAAATTACACTCGGCTGTTTTCCAACCTATCTCAGGCTATAATTTATTGTATTCTTCGGATCCTTTCTCAGATGGGACCTTTAATGAAAGTGCCCTTCTTCTACGCAATGATATTCCGTACTGTCAACTATTTGTCCATACCTCGCTGCATTACACTGCAGCCCGTATCCACTTGAATAAGTGGTTTACAATATGTTCTTTATATCTTTCTCCTTCTCGAGCATTTTCTATCCCAGACTTTGCCTTTCTTGTTTCATCCTTACCACCACTTCTGTTACTTGGTGATTTTAATGCCCACCATTTCCTCTGGGGGGGGGGTCTCATTGTGACTCACGTGACATTCAGTTGGAGGCTTTTCTCGCCTCTCACCCCCTCCATGTTTTAAATACGGGTACTCCCACCCATTTTGATCCTCGTACTCATACTCTCTCTTGCATCGATCTATCAGTCTGCTCTT